TTCACAAAGTGCTGCGCCTGCCACGAAATCTGCACATGGAGGTTCACGAAGTGCTGTGCCTGCCACGAAAAGTGACACTATCATCTCACAAAATGTGCACCACACCACACGTTTGGAATGGTTTTCGACCCGTACTGAGCACACTCCCATCCACCTAAATCGCAATTTCACCTGAGACTTGTCACGAAAGCAGAGCTTCGATGCCACACCCTGAAACGCAAATCTCAATGGCACGGCCACATCCAACACCCCAAAAACACGCCTCTCCTAACGCTAATCCCAATGGACCTGCGCAGCAAACTGCGGATCTCACAAACCACTGCGCCTGTGCAGCGAAATGCGTCACGTTTCTTGCACGACATGTCATCTTCAAGCAATTCACAATGTACTTGCGGCGCAAACTGACACGTGACACATCCATGAAAAGTCACTTGCAAAAGCTTCCCCCAATGGCAGCGCCTTAGCGCTCTACTGCCGACGGCGGCGTCCGATTGCGGACGGTTGCGAACATAGAAACAACGGGTCACGAACAAGGCTCTACCCCCAGACCCCCAGAGTTAAACGAGAACCCTTCGCTACACATTCGGGAAAAAGCTGCTTGTGTGTGCGTGTGTGCCAATCAGCACAGACAAGGAAGGCAAGGAACCAGGGAAGTGTGGAAGGCCTTGGTCGTGGTGACAGAAGGTGGCAACGAGCCAAGGAATGGTGGACATATTGGCAAACAACCAAAAGCTGGAGTGGTTGCACCCCAACCACAGGAGAAAAGCTGAAAGCTAGAACCAGCATTACAGTATATTACAGTGAAGACAAAGAGCCAAAAACAACCAAACGCCACACAAAAAAAAACAACACAAAAAGAGCCTACTGTTGAAACTTCCGCCCACCAGCCCTGCTGGTAAGTGCACAAGGCTTTCATGATTTGCAAGCTGAAAGTCAGGGATTGGTTGGCAATTGCCCGACTGCAAACATCAATCGACGAAACACAGGGCATCACACACAATTACGCGGGGTGCAGTTCATAGTCACTACACTGTCACTCCTACCCACCAAAGCCCTTTCAAACCATTCTGGCCGTTTCTGCGCAACTTAGACATGATAGGCACCCCTCTTGAACACATCAGGCCAAACTATAAAGTGAGAATCCTTACCTCGCCCTGCGGAATTCTACAGTATTTGGATTGCTAGTTAGGAATGCTCCCTCTCGCTCAATTCCAGGACCCTCGCGTTCCAATTGCTATGGAACCAAAGTCCAGCATCCGAGGCAGGACAACATCATTGGCTGAAGGGTATGCATGGATTGGCCTGGGGCACTTGCACGTGAACCTAACTGCTAGAACCACAACTCTAAACGAACAGGCGCTGCTCGAACTCAGCTCGCAGCACTATCAGATTCTCAGACAACTCACCACAAAATATCTTGATGGTGTCATAGTAATAGCGCCTCATTGTTGACAGGCTTGCGCAGGAACATTTGGGCATGCTTACTTACCTGGCTTGTAGTACGTTTGGGGAAACCTCAGATGAATGACTTCGAATCACCGTGGCAAATCATAGCAGAACATCAAACCCTTGTATAAAACCGTGAAAGGGCCATTAGCCTACACATGGTGCCATACTCCAGCAGGCTAGCACCCCACGCTGCTAAAGCACGAATCGACAGTTTGGGGTAGAATAATCTGGCGCACAAGCGTCCATTCATGTGGCTCGAAGGTGACCATGATGTCTTCACTCATTCCAGGCCTCAAGGGACGTTGTGAAGTCACGGAAAACTGTAGCGCACAAGCCTGATAGCAACAAACATGGTTTGTGTGGAAATTTTTCTGTCTTAGGCACGTCATCTCCTCACCAAATACTGCCAACACTGCTTTCCAGATCAGTTCGACGAGGCGACATGAGTTGCTTTATTTTTTCTGAGTTCTTTGTTTAGGGTTTGGGGTATCTTCGATGTTGCGACATCTGACTTCTTGCTTTACAGCTAAAGCTTGCAGGGTTTGCCAATCGAGCGCATCGACACCGAAGGACATAATGCACATGACAATGCGCTGTACGGTGTCATGAGGATTCTATTCATGGGGATCCCCACTACTATTACACCCAAAGGGCCCCCATTTTGTAAGTATAAACCAGGGGCTTTACAACTTGAGTAGGTGTGCCAAAATGTCAGCTTTGCAAAAGGACAGGTCATGTAAGCACCAGTGGCCGGGTAGATGACCTCTCAGTCGGTAGAGAGCTATACTTAGACATTATCAGGGACCATGCCCTAACACTTTATAAGGAATTCACTGTTCAATGTCACAGAATGTGGATCTCTGGCCTCAACCTCAAAAAAACAAAGGCCCATTTTGTAAGGACATAGCTGCTGGATGTTGCTGGGTCTTTTTCAGCGCTCTGCCAGCTGATCCATGTCCGTTCAGACCCCCCTAGCTGTAGGACAAAGTATCTGCATCACCGTTGTTTTCTATTGCAACGTGTGCATATATGGCTTGGATGCTGGCTGACACGGTGCATCCACAGCACAATGAAAGCATGTTGCTCTCTTACAAAGGAAAAGTACATCCGGCCATTTCTCAATCCTCCCAATTCCTCCCATGTGTATTCTCAACCGTGGTACCGTGGTTTTCTTTTTCTTGCCATCGATGAAGCCAATGGGAATGGGCAGCATGACTCTGAGAAATGACTCTGGGCAACAGTTGCAAGTTTCTTACAAAAAGAGGGTGCGCAACCTGGCCACATTCCTGAGAACCGATTGTTCATATCCCTTTGTGGATAATGAACAGGCTGTTACAGAATAAGGGGTGTGAGCCTACCATGATAGCTTTGAGTTTGACTTCCTTACAAAAAGACTTCGTATAAACACTAGGCTTCTTACAAAATGATGTCCGGTTTCCCTCTTACAAAATGCCCAGGTGCTTGACATTGGTTTCTTACAAAATGATCCCTTCCAACCCATTTATAGGGGGCTTCAGTTTTTTTGCGTCAGTAACCGGGGTTTTTTGCAACGGTGACACCAAAAGGTTTTTTTGCAACAGTTGCCAAGGGAGTTTTTTGCGACGGAAAAGAAGGTTTTTTGCTACGGGAGAGTTTTCTGTGACGATAAACGGGGTTTTCTGCGTCAGCTTTGGCACCAGTACGACTTGTTCACAACGATCACTAACTACTAACTAGTACTACTACCACTACTACTACTACTACTACGCCTACTACTACTACTCCTACTCCTACTACTACTACTACTACTCCTACTACTACTACTACGACGACGACGACTACTACTACTACTGCTACTGCTACTGCTACTACTACTACTACTACTACTACTACTACTACTACTTACTACTTACTACTTACTACTTACTACTTAGTACCTACCACTACCACTACTACTACCACCACCACTACTACTACGACTACTACTACTACCACTACTATCACGACTACTTACTAATACTACTACTCTTACTTCTACTTTCTACTTACTACTTACTATTTACTACTACTTACTATTACTTACTATTTAACTAGTATACTACTAACTACAAACTACTACAACTTCTAACTACAACAACAACAACTACTACTAGTTCTAGTGCTCATGTAAGTCTCAGTGCCCTCATTTTCCAAAAGCTGTGAATTTGAAGCAGTAGGATTCAAAAGGTCAACAATTGACCTGGAAAATATTGTCGCCCAAAGTGCAGAACCAGGGTCCAGACCAACAGCCCTCACCACTGTGGCCCAGAGCGCAACATACGCACAATGGGCAAATAAGGATGAGGCCTTTGGGTGTTCCCCTTCCAGGGTCCAAACCCACAAGAGAACTTCTGAAACACCCGACACCAGTGTCCCCCTGGGTGGAGGCAGGGGATGAGGAGGCCTTGAAAAAAGAACGGCTATCGGGCCGGAGAATTTACAATCGCACTATCACTACGGGGGCCCATGAGTTAGTGCTCATGTAAGCCCTCACCACTGTGGCCTAGAGCGCAACATACGCATATAATGGGCAAACAGGTGAAACGCTGCAAAATAAGGATGAAGCCTTTGGGCGTTCCCCCCCAGGGTCCAAACCCACAAGAGAACTTCTGAAACACCCGACACCGGTGTCCACCCTGCCCAAAATTCAGCCGGGGCTGGAGCCAAAGGTAGCAGGCTCAAGTCGCTCCAGTCGCTGGACAGAGTAAAAAGGCCACACGCTTCGCGACAAAGAGGGGGGGAAACGACGGGAAACCTTTCCTGTCGAAACTCCGGCCAAAAGGAAAGACAGAGACGGGCAACGCTTCCGTCTGCACCACCTGCCCAAAAAGCAGTGACTTTTTAGAACTCCAAACGTGTCAAACGCGTACGCGCAGGATTACTAAGGGACAACTCAGTGAGCTGCGCTAGTGCATCAGCTAGGTAGATCCTGGCAGTTTTAGGGCAATTCCATCGCCCAACAACACATAAGGCTGGTAAGTTGTTGGTCAAACGAAAACAGTGGGTAGCCCCACCTCGCCGAAGCGAGTACCATTGGAAACCATCAGGCAGCTGAAGGTCAGCAAAAAGCTGCTTGAGGCGTTGTCGCATGCCTCCCGGGCTAACAGCCCGAAGATGATCACTGGGGGCGTGAGAGGACATGTAATTATACAATGCATGAACCAACCATGTGTCCTCCACGACTGGAGACTCCTGGGCTCCATGCCTTTGCACACTTTTCGTGAGAGGCAAAGTCCATACCACTCGCTTCAAAGAAGAATCAAAATGAAAGTCTCCTCTCTTAGCATTGAAAAGTTCCCCGGTTCGCGCAAAACGATCAAAGCCTAACAAGAGAAGAGCTGCCATGTCCCGCCAGCCCAATTCAAAAGCTCGCTGTGCCAGGGCGTAAAAACTATCACGGGAGTGAAAGGCAAGGCTCGAGCTGGGAGCTCAGCCCTGCTCCAGCTGCCATGAAGTCTCCACGCCCCCGCTAAATGCTTCTTGCATTGGGGGATATAGTGACCAAGGCCACTCAGCCAGTCCGATGCAAAAGCCTTGCTGTCTCCATTCTGCCACAGGTATTCTATGTATTCACAAACCCGGCCATCTAGGGAAAGAATAGAGGATGGATAAGGGTAGGCATGCAGTTGAAGGAATTGCAGGAAGAGTGAAACAGCCTGGAAGTATCGGTCTAAAGTACGTGGGGCGACAACCAAACTCCGCAAGGTTCCCAGCTCTCTGCGCTCCTTTTTTTCGTTGTTGCGGCGTTCGCCGCGCTAGCACTTTGCTTAGGCGCCATGCGCGTGACACTTAGCGGCCCATCTTGAGGGGCCATCGGCTGGGTTCCATTTGGATTTAACCCACTCCGGGTGCAAAACAACGCCCCCTGCAACCAGAATAGCTCCGATTCGGCGCAGGGGGCTTTGAAGCGCACGAGCTGAAGACCGGCCTTTCGCTAAGGCACTGAGGGCAGTTTGGTTGTCAATGAGGATCGCATACCGCTTGTGGTGGTGCTTTGACTCACGACACAACTTTCTCAAGACATCAAGCACTGCAGCCGTCTCCAGGACATTAATGTGCTGCCCAGGCTCTTTCCATTGGTAGGAAAGCAGCACCTTCCATGTCCAGTGCGTGGGATCGATGCTCTGAAGGCATGCCACACCAGTTGCCAAAGGTGCACCATCTCGGATAACAAGTAGCTAGGATCTGTTCATCACTCAGCCAACGCGGTGGATCGATCAAGCGCACGGTGTCCTTCACCAGCTCACGCAGGGACCGAACCATGGTAGCCGAACCGCTCGCGATCCAAACCTGATCTTCCAGGGTTGCTCATCATGCTGCGCTCGCTCTTCCATTTCATGCCAGGACTGCCATAGGAGGCTCGTCACATCCCGGTCTTTTACATCATCTTCACTGGCCACCAGTCCCACCAGAAGACGGGCTACTGCAATGGCTGAGAAACTATTGCCAATCAACTGCCCCTTCACATCGGCTGACAGCTTGCTCTTCGCCTCCAAGTAATTGGGCTCAAATCCCATCATACGCATCTGCTCTGCAGGAAGTAGACGTCGGGGGCCATGTTTGTCTACCACCAGATTGCGATCTTCATACTGGTAGGTTGAACCCTGTATGCATCACCCTTCCAGCGGGCTCGTGCCTTTTCACTACTGGCTTGATCATATGCAGCTGGATCGCTTGGTGGTGACTTGCGAGGTATCGGTCGGGCGAATGTTGCGAAGGGCCGAAGGGCTCCTCTTAAGATTCAGCCTCCATCTTTTGAACATCCCGCTCAAGAAACCACGTGAGCGGATGTTGTTCGGTTTCCACATTGACCCTGGCCACTGAGTAGGTGCACCCACGAGGTGTGTGATTGCGCTCCAGGGTCACATCCGCCCCAAGGCTCAAGGGCAAGTTTTTCCTCCAGTATAGTCTTGGCCGTCGGCACCGCCCCAGGTCTCCTGCTTCGAGGAGGACTGCCGGAAATCCAATCTTGCCCGTTGGAATTTCATAGTCCGTCTGGTCCATAACGACATTCTCATAGAATTCACAGACTGTCCATGGCCGCAGTCCATCCAGCTCACTCACCTCGCGCAACCCGTCTTTCAGCCGTATCAATTGATCTAAAAGCATGCTGCTTTCTGCGTGCACCACCTCGGTGGACATTGAGCTGCGAGTGGTTGATGCATGGCCACCCTCCTGCCAGGATCACCCTGGTTGCCCGAGGAAATCGTCGTCTGATCTCCTGTAATTCCACGAGCTGAACCTTGTGAATGTCATCATAACACACAGCATGC